GTCTTTTCCCCATTTGATGGACTTTGGGTCCTTGTCGAAGATCAGGTGACCGTAGGTGGATGGATTTACATCTGGGTTCTCAATTCTGTTCCATGGCAATTCTTTAAGATGGGGGGAGCCTTAGAAAATGTTGTCTGGATCTACTGAATTCAAAGGCACTCTTGCACTTGTCAGACCACCTAAGACTCTCAGAACAGAACCCAGTTCTCAATTCAACGTACACACAACCTCCCAGTAATATACTTACTATGTGAAGGGAAGTCCACAAGGGCCTCTACTTTAGGTCTAATTTTTGTTCCACCACCTTCTGTTTTCCCTAAGGTACCGGGATTTGTTCTCCCATCAGCCCTTAGCCCTGGCAAACGGGTACCTGGGTATAGTGGGAGCAGACAGGGCCGCTGCAGCACCAGGGGCAGTGTGGGTTACAGTCGCTAGGGGCCAGAAACAAATAATGCCGCTTCTCCTCAGACCAAGACTTCATGAGCTCTACCCCGGAGCGGTACCTGAGGAGGTGGGGAAGATGGAAGAAACTGGGTAGGAGAATAGAAAAGTCACTCTGCCTTCAACTTGCTTGGTGTCCTTGGGTGAGTCATTTGGCCTCCCTATAATTTCCTCATCTATAAAGTGAAAAGAATGGCAGTAGTAACTGCTTTATAGGTATGTTCTGAAGACCACTGGAGATAACCCATAAAAAGTGCTTACTTGGACCTGGTACATAGTGAGTGCTCTATAAAACATAGCTGTTATTGTTATACAAAGGGCTGGGCATGAGGTAGGCACTTCAGACAGGGTAGCTTGTATTTTTAGGGAAGGAAAGGATTACTGAACCATCTTCTAGGCTTCTGAGATGTGAGATGAGGCGAAGGCAGGCACCTGGTGTCCTGCGAGCCACTTGGTGGGACCTGAGGATTGTTCTGTCATACTCACATGACAGGGAGTGGAGGCACAAATCATACGAAAGGGATGATAAGGAAAAAAAAAATCTGCCTGAATTCACACTTATAATTTATACCAGCACATCTTCATCCCAAACACTGTTTTCTTTTCCCTTTGAGCCTCTCAAGTGATGGCCATGGGGTGGGGTGGGGTGGAGTCTGCAGGAAGAGCTTAATAGCAGTTGGGAAGGGAAGTGAGCTTCAGAAAAGACGGAATCACCCAATGTCTGCCCTGGAGGGTTCTTAGGGACCATTCATGGCTTCCAAATGCTGGCGCTGGCCCCAACCAGTCGATGACATGAAAAAGGCAGACAGGACACAGAGTGTCGGTTGAGCTGAACTTAAAGGACTGGCGTTGGGTCTGGAACTATGTCCTTTCGGCTTTTGTGGGGTTACGCTAGAATGGTAGAGACGGGAAGGTAGTTTTTTTTCTAATATCCTTATTTGGTGAAATAAAAATATGACAATCCTGTAGCAGTCTTATAAATGTCTTTTTGAAATTTTCTTGGTCTATGAAATCCACAAGTCTGGAAAGAACTGAGCTAGGCCAACATCTCCATTTTGCAGATGGGGACACTGAGGTTCAGAAAGCAGAAATAACTCCCCAAGGCCACACAGGTCAGAACTCAGGTCCCCAGATTCCATCTGGGGAGCCAGATGGTAGTAAGGAGGTCATGTCAGAAGTGTGGGCATTGCTATCCTCAGATTTTGGTGGGACACCGTTGGACGTGATGTACCCATTCAACAGCCCCCACCCCAAACTCTGCTCCCCATGACTTTCCATGCCGTTACTCTGCCTTGTGTGTTTTCAAATCACTCTTCATTCTCTGAAACTATCTGTGTGCTTATTTGTTAACCCATTTATTGCCTGTCTCCCATAACTAGCCACCACCTATCTGTCAGTTTGTCCTGCTGTTGTGGCCTGCATGTTGCTATGATGCTGGAAGCTCTGTCACTAGTATTTCAAATACCAACTGGGTCCCCCATGGTGGACAGGTTTCCGTGGAACTTCCAGACTAAGACAGACTAGGAAGAAAGGCCCGGCAATCTACTTCTCAAAAATCAGTCAATGAAAACCCTATGGATCACAGCAGAATATTGTCTGATACAGGGCGAGAAGATGAGCCCTCTAGGTGGGAAGGCACGACACAACAGCCGAAACAAAGGACTCAACCATAACAGCAATCATGAAGATGGCACAGGATCAGGCATCATTTCGTTCTGTTGTACTTCAGGTCATCAAGGGTTGGAGCTGACTTGATGGCTACTAACAACGGCAACCCCTAACTAGAATGTATGCTCCATGCGGTCAGGAGACTTCTCTGTCTTGGTCACCACCGTATCCCAGTGCAAGCTCAGTGTCCGGTTCTGAGTAAGTGCCCAGTGTATGTTTGTTGAATGACTGAGCAAAGGAAGGCACAGAGGGTCACTCACCGGCCAGAGTGGATGGAGTGGTTCTGGCCCACGTATCTCATCAGCTGCGAGGGCCCATGGGCCCAGATGCACTGGGTGGCCCAGGCCTCAGCAGACCTGGTCAGCCGCTCATCCCAGACCTGGGGAAAGAAAGGCCATGAAAGTCTCCCTCATCACAACACTAACTTCTTACCTGCGCCCAGGATGCACATTCTGCCCATCTCCTTGGATCCCACAACAAACCCACTTGACAAATTAGAAAACTGAGTCTCAGAGGCTTATGGTTTCAAGGTCAACAGCAAGTCCACACCAGAGCCAAGGTCCACATCCAAGTCTCTGACTCCTGCCTCGGTGCTCTGTTTCCCTCACTGGGCTTCAAGCTGGGGACTCTCTGCTCTGAGCAGGCCCCGGTGTGTTTGTTCTCAGCAGTCCCTAGAAGTGACTGAGCCCAGGGTGATGGGAAGATAATGGATTTTTAATTTTATTTCTTGTATTTTTAAATTGCATTTATTTCAACATTAAATTTTTTTTAATTCAAATGCTTTTTTTTTTAATGGTAAAAACATGCAGAAATTTAATATATAAATTAGCCAAAGGAGGAAAAGTAGAAAGTCAGTCTCTTATCTCTCCCCCACACCTGTCCCCTGAGCCACACTGCCCCCTACTGTGGGCAACCACACTTCGAGTCTTCTTTCAGAAATATTCTATACCCGGACAAGTAGATACATATATATTTTTTGACAAATGGCAGCATGCTAGACATCCTATTCTACACGTAGCTCTTTTCACTTAACAAGATAGTTTGTCTTGGTAATTATTCCTCATCACTAAGTACAGAATACTTCCCTCAACCTTCTTAACAGCTGCATAATTTTCCAATGTATGAATGTCTCCAGTTTTATAACCTGATGAAGTGTTGGTAAAAACAAAACAAAACTAGTTCTCTTCCAGCGTTGACTTCCTGGGATTCTTTGAGGTATTATTTGTTCATTCGTTTCATTTGCAAATAGTGAACAATATTTCCAGGAGATCCTCGACTCATAGTCTAATGTGGAAATGAGAAGTTAAGTAAGTAAGTTATCCCACAGTCCTGGCAGGTGCTCCAGGGAAGAGAACAGAGCGGTGTGAGAATGTGGAACAGGGGACCTGGCCTTCCTTGGGGCTGTGAAAGAAAAGGCTTCTTGATCAAGAGATGTTTAATCGGATACCTGTAGCTAGTGAAGAAGGAATAGGGGGCCAAAGAGTGGTGCAGACATCTCCCCAGGGTTGTCTGACTCATAATCTTTAACGGGGAGAAGAGGAAGTTTTCTCTGGTGCTACCAATGGGTAAACTGAGGGAAGAGACCTGTTACCCATCAAAACCACACTCACTGACCCTCTCCAGGGTACCTGGAGAGACATCTAGCTCTCTCTCATGATGACTTCCCTTGTGCCACACTGCATGCATTAATTCAACATCTGCTGGGATGAGTGCCACACACACAGCTGGTGCTCAATAATTAGGAAATTTGCTGGAAAAAAAAAGGAAGGTCTTCTATGTGCCAGAACCCAGTGTTAGTAAATAAAAGCGTTAATGAATGACTAAATGACTCCCCCACCTCTAGCTAACCGAAAGGTTGGCAGTTCAAGTCCACCCAGAGGCACTTCAAAAGAAAGGCCTGGCGATCTATTTCCAAAAAAAAAAAAAAAATCAGCCATTGAAAACCTATGGAGGAGCGTTCTACTCCGACACACATGGAGTCGCCACGAGTCAGAGTTGACTCGATGGTAACTGTTTTCTCCCCACCTCTGGCTGCTGCCATCCCGGCTCCTATCCTTGTGGTTGTGTTAGTTGCCATTGAGTCAATTCCCACTCATGGTGACCTCATGTGTGCAGAGGAGAGCAGCTCCATAGGGCTTTCAAGGCTATGACCTTCTGGAAGCAGATAGCCAGGCCTGTCTTTGGAGGCGCCTCTGGGTGGATTCAAACCAAAACCTTTTAGTAGCAGTCAAGCGCTTAACCATTTGCTCCACCCAGGGACTTCCTGCTCCTATTCCTACCCCAAGGAGCCCTGGTGGCACAGTGGTTAAGTGCTCGGCTACTAACTAAAAGGTCAGCAGTTCGAACCTACCGTGGGATCTTGGGAAAAAAATACCTGGCAATCTGCTTCCGTAAAGATTACAGCCTAGGAAACACTATGAAGCATTTCTACTCTGTCTTATAGGATCACCGTGATTCTGAATCCACTCAATGGCAATGGAGTGGGGAGGGGGGAATCCCTACCCCCTCACCTTATTACTACCTGACATATATATACATGTTAAAAAACTGCATAATGTATATACACATATACATATTAAAAACTGTATATATATATACATATGAGGTTCCCTACAGGGTTGCCATGAGTCTGAATCAACTCAATGGCAATGGGTTTTTTTTTTTTTTAAATATATGCATATTTATATATCGTTGCTGCTGCTGCTATTTCTTTTCTATCATCCCCACTCTAAGCTCTGTGAGGGAAGGGACATTGTTCGTCCTGTTCTCAGCAATATCCACAAAGCATTCCAGGCTGGGCTCCAAGCAGGTGTTAACACATAAGTGAACGGACACTGCAAAAGTGTAACAATTCTCAGGCTCTTGAGTAGCACGCACCTGTCTTGGAGCGGGTGGAGGGCAGTATCTTTGCCTAAAGAAATCTCTGGGTGGGCTGGAAGCCTATCTCTCCTGGCTGGTTTGGGACAATGGTCCCAGGGGAGGGGCTGCGATAAAGCAAAGGTTCCTGCCTCCACACCAGGAGTCTGGCTTCTGGGGGGCTAGGATGACAGCCGCCAGCTCTGCCTCTTTGAGGGAAGACCTCCCAGCCTCCCTCACTGATTGGCTGCTGGTTTTCCTCAGCGCCTGTCCTTCCCGCCACCCCCCCACAACTCCAAAGGCCCGCTGAAAGGATGGTCTGGGAGTGTCAGCCAAAACCCTTGGGCAAAGAGACAATAGCATAGAAAGCTCCAACCACCCCCTCCCCCTCCCCTGCCCCAGGCCCCCAGTGGGTAGCTAAGATTTTTGAGCAAGGTATTGTATTGGTTAAGACCACAAGCTTTCAAATCAGACAGGCCTGGGTTGGAAGCTGGGCTGGGTGGCCATGGGCTAATTAATTCTTTGAGTCTCAATTTCTTTATTTGGGAAATGGAGATGACGACACCCACCCTGAAGGTGCAAAGGTCCCTGAATGGCGCAAATGGTTTACGTTTGACTACTAACCTAAAGGTTGGCCGTTCAAACTTACCCAGCGGCACCACGGAAGAAAGGACTGGCAATCTGCTCCTGTATAGATTACAGTCAAGAAAACCCTACGGAGTAGTTCTACTCTATAACACACAGGGTCACCATGAGTCAGATCCGACTCAACAGCAATGGGTTTGGTTTGGTTTGGTTTTGGTTTAGTGCCTAGTACACAGTACCCGTTACACACTGCTGTCAAGTTGATTCCAACTCCTAGCGACCCTATAAGACAGAGTAGAACTGCCCCATGGGGTTTCCAAGGAGCAGCTGGTGGATTTGAACTGCCAACCTTTTGGTTAGCAGCTAACTCTTAACCACTGTGCCACCAGGGCTCCAAAACCAAACCCGTTGCCCTCAAGTCAATCCTGACTCACAGCAACCCTATACGACAGAGTAGAATTGCCCCTTAGGGTTTCCAAGTAGCGGATGGTGGATTCGAACTGCTGACCTTCTTGGTTAGCAGCCAAGCTCTTAACCACGGTGCCACCAGGGCTCCTAGTACACAGTAGGTGCTCCATAAATGGTAGTCCTCTGCCCCCGACTCACTGGAGGATCTGTGTAATCTCCTTAGTTTCTTCATCTGTAAAATGGGCAGACAAATCCCTACCATATTCCACAAGTCCCAGGACCCAGTGGTTCAGTGCGGCCAGGCTGGCAAATGCTCTAGCCCTTCAAAGCCAGTCATTCCAGGCCAAGTTGAGTCTACTGGCATTTGCTGGAAGGGGTAGTGGGGAAGGGGTGCCATGGGGACTCACCATGTACTCCATGTTGGTAGCAGGTGGATACGTGCTGGCCCAGATATGGTTGTGATAATCCAAAGGGCATCATGTCCCGGGCAGAGATGTGGCACTTCCGGCGGTACCTGGGCACCCCTAGGCTGGTCAGGGGCCTCACGGCTGTGACCTCGGGCTGGGCCAGCTCCAGGGTGGCATTGGGCATCATCAAGGTGTTTGCTGTCTGGCCTGCCCAGAAGAGCAGGCCTGCCAGGCACAAGACGCTGGGCAGCAGGGGCATTGCTGGCTGGGGGGAGGGCAAACGTCTGCCTCGTGCAGTCAGGGCCGCCTGCCTGGAAAGAGCTGGCATGAGGTCACAAAACACTGAGTGTTCTCCTCCAGCATTGCCAACCCAGAGGATGCGAACCTCTGGGGACTTGGCAAAGACCTCCTGACTCCAGCTCTGGTTCCAGATGCCCAATACCCCTCCCTCCCAACCCAGTGGACTGAGTGGATCAGGCAAGGGAAAGAAATGCCCAGACAGTGGCTCATCCACACCTGGCCCTGGGTGAGACAGCAGTTACCAATTCAAACCTAGTGCCCATCCCACCAGCCCAGGAGAGAGACATGAGTCCTCTCCAGCCTGGACACCCTCTTCACCAATCCTACTCCAAGTGGGCTCCGGTGATGTCCTCAGAGGGGCAGGGACCCAACTGGCCCCAAGGCAGGTGGCAGGGTCCTCTTGTCCTGAGTTGCTGCAGGATTGAGACAGAGAGATCGAGAAAGAAAGAACAAGATAGATGGCAGAGAATGGAAGAGCAGAGAAAAAGAAAGGCAGACAGAAAGAAAAACGAGAAGCAGGGAAAAAGAGAAGGAGAGAGACCAAAAAGGCAACAGGAAAAAGAGACACTGAGAAAAGAGAGCAATTGAAAGACCAGGGGGGGATGAGAGAGAATATGCCAGGGGAAAGAAGGAGACTGAGAAAATAGGAGAGACAGAAATAAAGGTAGAGAGAGACAAAGACAAAGGAAGAAAAGACACAGAACAGAGAGGAAAGAGAGGGGACTAGAGAGAAGAGGGACAGAGAGAGGCACAGGGAGACTGGGCAGCAGGCTCCCCAGGGGTGCCTCCCCAGGACAGGCAGCCCAGGTGGGCAGCTGGAGGCGGCCGAGGAGGCAGGGGACCTCTGCAGACACCCTGGTCCACCTGGCAGTGCATCGACCTTAATGGTGTGCCTGGCACACAATATGTATTCTGTGTGTGTGTGCATACATGCTTGTGTGTATTTGTGTGTGTGCTTGTGTGTATTGCATGTGTGCAAGCACACATTTACATGCATCTGTGTTGATGTGTACATACGTGTGTGCACATGTGAGCGTGTGCTGTTAAAGCTCCATTGGTCTCTGAGTTGCTGTACTTCTGGGTTAAGAAAGGGTTTATTTTCTCCTCTTTATTACTTGCCTCCTCTTCTAGCAACCTCTGAGAAGCCCTCCAACAAGCCCAGTCTCAGATGCCAACCTGAGCCCCGGCCCAGGTGGGGATGTGGTGCTGGGGGCTGGGGCTGGGCTACCCGAGTTGGGTCCTCCCCAGACACATGGAATTCCCACCTGGGGCAGCCACCTAGCCCCAGCCCCTATGGCCCAGACAGTGCCTGCTGCCAAAGCACACACCTTCCTGCCGGGAGCAGCTTCCAGAGCCCAGGCAGCTAACAGCTGCATGCTGGGGGGTGGGGGGAGTGAAAAGGGTGTGGGGGGTGAAAGGTGAAAGGGGGGTGGGATAAAGGGATAGGCAGAGACAGTGAGGGGTGGGGGCTGTAGTCCCTGACCTTACAGGGATTTCCCACCACACAGGGAAGGACAAGAGACTGGCTCCAACCTAGTCCCACCTCGGCCTTGAGTGGAATGGGTGTCCTTGGCAAGTCCCTATCCCTCTCTGGGCCATTAGATAACCAAACTAGAGGCCCTTCCAACTGTGGTAGGCTGGAATCCATGGCACAACAGGGCCAGCTCTGCAGCCCAAGGGAGGCAGACACACACCACTCGGCACTCAGGAAACCAGGAGCGGCCACAACCATCCCCCACTCTCTGAATGCTTAACAGGGACATCTCCATCTAAGAGGCACTTGCATGGTTCAGAGCTTCCCAGTCATCATTCACTTGGTCTTCACAATTCCCTTTGCAGCAGTAACCCCACCCATTGTACAGATGAGAATACTGAGTCACGCAGATCCTCCATGGCTTGCCCAAAGGCATGGGACTTGTTTGTATAGTAGCTGGGGTTCTGGCAGTGAACACCCTCACACATATACAGAGCACATGTGTGTCCGCTGTACACACACCACACACACACTTAGGTGTATACGCTCACATAAGCATATCCTCTTTCCCCCACGAGTCACAAAGACAGCCCCTCACATCACTTGTATAATACATCCACAGGTGCATAAATACACAGAAGCCCACCCTTTACACATTTAATCATATCTAGTACCTATAAGTAGGAGCCCCAATGGCGTAGTGGTTAAGAGCTCAGCTGTTAACCAAAGGCTTTGCAGTTCAATTCCACCAACACTCCTTGGAAACCCTATGGGGCAGTTCTACTCTGTCCTATAGGGTCACCACGAGTTGGAACTGACTCAACTACGCTTAACAACAACAACAGTACATATAAGTAGTCCCCGGGTGGTGCAAATGGTTAAGTGTTCAGCAACTAACCGAAAGGTTGGCAGTTCGAAACCACCCAGAGGTGCCTCAGAAGAAAGGCCTGGTGATCTGCTTCCAAAAGGTCACCAAAATCAAATCCAAACCCATTGCCATCAATTTCAACTCATAGTGATGCTACAGGACAGAATAGAACTGCCTGGTAGGATTTCCAAGGCTGTAAATCTTTATAGACGCAGATTGCTGCATGTTTCCCCAAGGAGCAGCTGGTGGGTTTGAACCACTGACCTCTCAGCTAGCAGCCAAGCACTTTATCCACTGCACCACCAGGGCTCCTCCAAAAGGTCACAGCATTGAAAATCCTATGGAGCACAGTTCTACTCTGAAACACAGAGGGTCATCACAAGTCAGAGTCAACTTGACAGCAACTGGCTTTAGGGATGTGCACTTGGGCAATAAAACTATAAAGAAACACGAAGAAATACAGTGAAGCCTGCGAGAGCCGGAACTCAACGGGACTGCCTTGTTTTCCAGGTCTCTCAAGTTTTCCGCCTTTGACAGGGTGGAGTCTTAAACCACTTTTCTATCGCCCTCTTTTAGTGAAAAATATTTTAGTTTTCCTTCTCTGACAGGGCTTATGTGGGGGCCAGCATGTTCTATTTCCTGACCTGGCTGGTGGTTATAGAGGTTGGCCTTATAATAACTTATTAAGTTCCACGTTTATTTTCTGTGACTTTCTGTCACATTAAAAAAAAAAAAAATTACTTTCTATCACTTTGAAATAACAAGAGCAGTAATTTATACAGTGGTGACTTCTATCTGTTGCCACATTAATTATGTAGGAGGATTTTAATCTACTGAGGACACTAAGGTTCAAAGAGGGAGGCAATTTGCCCGAAGTCACACAGCAAATAAGTCTGGGAGCAAGGACTCAGCCCCTGTGGCTTCGTGCGTCTCCACAGCACAGCCGTGGTTCGGTCTTACCGGTGACAATCCCTGCCCGAGGAAGGCGTGGGGGCAGAGGTAAAGAGGCCTTACAACAGATTCAGAGAAACTGAGTCCTCAGAAAATAAAGCACACCCAGAGGCATCTCTGCGCTCCTCAGCTCTGCCTCTCACACCCCTGAACCTAGAGAGTAGTGCTATCTCTTTGGCAGATTACCCAGAGGGAGGCAGGATGGTGTAGTGGGTAAGGACTAGAGCTGTGGATGCAAGTCATTGCCCCTCTCTGAACGTCAGTTTCCTCATCTGTAAAATGGGAACAATAAATAGACCCTACCTTATTTGACTGTTATGAGAAAGTCAGCAAAGAAACATGGAAAGTGTCTAGCACACAAAGCAAAGACTATTATTATTTTTCTAAAAATTTATTTTATTTTTTGTTATTGTTGTTGAAGGCATACACAGCAGAACATACACCAATTCAACAATTTCTACATGTGCAATTTAGTGACATCGATTACATTCTTCAAGTTGTACAACCATTCTCACCCTCCTTTGCCAAACTGTTCCTCTCTCATTAATATAAACTCACTGCCCCCTAACTTTTCTCTCTACTCTCTCGAGTTCAAGCAGAGCTTATTGATGTTAGCTTTACGCTTCCAAACAGAAACATGATATGACTCCATTTTCGAGATGCTCTAGAACAGGCAAAACTAACCGAGAGTGATGGAAGCTGAACAGTAGCTACTTTGGGGGTTCCCGACTGAAGAGGAGGCAGGAGGGAGTCTCCCAGGGGCTGTGAACGTGCTGTATCTTGACCTGGGTGGTGATGACACAGTGTACATATAAAACGTTATCCACTTGTACACTTAAGATCTGGGTACCTCACTGTAAGTTATACCTCATTTTAAGAAATTTAGAGCTATATGTGATTTTTAAATCTTCATTTAATTTAAAAGAGTTCCTTCCACAAGTATAAACTTAAAATCCTACATAGGAAGAAACACATCCACAGAAATATCCCATTTTTGTCCCCCCAATACACACTTCCTACCCAATACACATAAAAACCCTCCCTAATGTACCTGCTAAACGCCCCCACACTGTACACACACAGCCAAACACCCCAATACCAACACAAATAAAAGTCACCCTCCAATAGAGTAGACACGCCCACACTCCCAGTCAACCCCACAGCACACCCATCTTCAAATACAGACGCTTTCCTGCACTGGCTACATGGAGATACACCCTAGATGCAAACACACAGAGACACACACAAACCAAACACATGAACAGCTGGACTAGATGATCCCTGGGGCTGTTCACAGCAGATTCTTGAGTCAGACATACGCGGACAGGGGTCTTGGCCCCACCTCTTCCTCCCCATAGGACCCAGGGCAAGTCACATCTTCTTTCTGAGTCTTGGTTTCCTCATCTGTAAAATGGGCCCAATAAGATTTTCTCTTATGAAATGAAACGAGATAAAAAGGAAGACCATGAGCAAATAAGTTCTTTGAGGGAAGGTGTTGCATCGTTATTTGTCTCTGTAGTCTCAGCGGCTCACGTAATGTCATTATTAGTACACCAAAATAAAGCAAAACGGACTTGTTCACAGGGCTGATTCCGTCTCACCCCATGCGTTAGAGTGGAACTGAGCTCCAGAGGCTTTCCTGGCAGTAATCTTTGTGGAAGCAGAT